TTCTTCTTCATGGATTGAATCATCGCCACCATCACCAATTGATGTATATATAATATCCACTTTTTTGAACAATTCCTCAACACCATGTGACGACAATTGATGTGCAGGTTGATTACTAAAGCAATGAGCATCTAGTTGTACCATTCTACGACAAAGTTGCTTGTAATGTGACGCCACCATTAACTTAAGATCCTTTTCATTTGACATGGTATTGGGGGCCCAAGCACACCTTTGTCTTGTAGCTTGTCTCTATCTCTTAAGTATACATTGCTTGAGAATTTGATTAATATTCATCATGTTCAAGACTTGAAGTGCATCGCCACATAATATGTCTTCCATTTCAAACTTCTGACAACTACAATTGACTATCTCCTCATTAGCCTTAACCAAGACCATATACTCTCCATGTTCATCACATGAACGAACAACAAATTAATGCACCCATCAAACACATCAACTAGTGTCGCAATATATAACACACTCAAATATAGTAGCAGTGTACACTTCCCCTACTTGCACTAAATTGTAGCTCTTTTTAACTTCAATCTAGATAATTTTTGTCTAGCTTGGTATTCTGAGTCTGATTTCTTATACAACTTATCAATCAAAACTCTTTCAAAATGTACAAAGAACAAAACAATGTCATGATCTGGCTTTAAGTACTTCCACAAGGCTACATTCAAGCTCTCACTCAGTTAGGTGTTTCTCATTCATTTGGTGAAAGTCCTCTTCATATACACATACCCCCATTTCTCTCGCAATGTCCAAGTGGATTTCATCCACATATTATCATTCAAATTATACTCGGCAAGCAACAATTCTTAGGCTTTGAATAATTCATGCTCTTTCTCATATCCATACACACACTCTTTAAATTGAGTAGAAAAATGTGAATCATCCTTATATATATTCCCTAAATGTTTCAAAGTATTTTGGCAAAGGTGCCAATGATATAACCCATGGTAAGTCTTTGGCATCACTTGAGAAATAATCTTAGCCATTGCTTAATCTTGGTCGCTGAAGATGGTAACATGATATTTTCCAAACATAGCTTGTAGTAATGTCTCAAACAACCACTAAAATGATACTGTCGTTTCATCATACAATAGTGTAGCTTTAAATAAGACTGTCTCCCTGAAATGGTTAAAGCCAGTAAAACAAGCAAATGACCGATACTCCTTATTCGTTCTAAAAGTAGTGTCAAATGAGACAACATCCACAAAATTACCATAATCAATAATTATCCTTGGGTTGCCCCAAAAAGTATTAGTAATATGCTCCTCCACATCCAATTGCACTCCATAATAGAATGATGAATTTTTAACTACTTCCGTTTGAAAATAATTCAACGAACTACCCGTCTCACCATACCTCAAGTCTCGTTGCCTCCTTTCACAAAATTAATTCTTCTAGTCTTGACGAGTAAAATTAAGACTTTCCTTTCCTCCCGACTGAGTGCTCAAAATTTCATAGGAAGCCTTAAGTGATATTCCACAATCTGTTGCTATATCAAAATTAATGTCTTGTGTTTCGGCAACCTTCTACTGGGATGGCATCATATGCAAACATTCAGCAAGATGCATAGGATGGTCGTGGTTGTCGTCCTATTTCATCACAACAAATTTGTCAATTTCTTTATTAAGAGATATGCACATATGAGCTTGACAATTTGTTCACGTCTGTGCTTGATGTTTCCTTATGTGCCACTTTTTTTTATTATGAACTCTTTGACCTTGTTTACAACAAACATATTTTCTGTAAATGACAACGTCATCTTCAAACTTTTATTCTGAAAATATTTTTTCACATTAAATTCCACAAACCCTCTATAATTATTGTAAAACACATATGTATCTTCTTCAACATCAAATTGCATATCAATATAAGGTCTATTATCAGTTATATTAACTCCCAAATCATCCATCATAGTATCTTACAATAAGAAATTTAATTGAAATGACATCATGTGGTGAATGAAACACATAATATATGTATGACATTCCAAAAAAAAAAAATTTGTACTGGAATAATATTGACCACAAAAATAGAAAATATTAATTATTTCAAGTTCCAAAAAATGATAATATTATTAACTCAACAAGGTGTTGACCCAAACTTAAAAACTACACATGCATATACTAAAAACTACACATATGCATATATTGAAAACATACATATATGCATATACTGGAAAGCTATATAATCAGAAAATAGCTCCATTAATTTCATAATAAAACTAACACATATGCATAAAATTTGGTTTCGATACCATACCGTCATTTGATGAAGAGGTAGGTATTATGGCTCTTTTGTCATTCACTGCATTTGATGAAGAAGAACAGAGAGAATGAATTGAGAAGAAGACGGGAGAAGTAGTAGAAGCAAGTTGTGTTTGATGAAGAAGAAGTGGGAGAAAAGGGGATCTTTGATTTTGATGTGGAGGACCAGCTAAATGACGTCATTTATGGTATGGGTTTTAAAAAAAAAAATTGTAAAAAAACCTCAAAACGATGTNTTATGACGATTCTACGACAACTGGTCCGGAGTAGGCAATGTACCCGGAGCAGCGCCCCAGCGCCCATTTGGGCGCCCCTTTTCACTTCCAATCCTTCCAACTTTAATCCTAACTTATCCTACATACTTTTCTACATCGACCTAATTAGTTCAAGTTCTTTTATGATTTATTTTGTACATTTTCATACCGAAACTAATCTTTTAACTACTCTTTCCTTGAGTTATACTATTTTATCATTTCAAATGAAATAATTACTGAACACCTATGTCTTTTATTATCTTTTATTTTATTTTATTTTTTTTTTAAACGCATGTGGGGTATTACACCAAGTGGATTTCATCCACATATTATCATTCAAATTATACTCGGCAAACAACAATTCTTAGGCCTTGAATAATTCATGCTCTTTCTCATATCCATACACACACTCTTTAAATTGAGTAGAANGATTTCATCCACATATTATCATTCAAATTATACTCGGCAAGCAACAATTCTTAGGCTTTGAATAATTCATGCTCTTTCTCATATCCATACACACACTCTTTAAATTGAGTAGAAAAATGTGAATCATCCTTATATATATTCCCTAAATGTTTCAAAGTATTTTGGCGAAGGTGCCAATGATATAACCCATGGTAAGTCTTTGGCATCACTTGAGAAATAATCTTAGCCATTGCTTAATCTTGGTCGCTGAAGATGGTAACATGATATTTTCCAAACATAGCTTGTAGTAATGTCTCAAACAACCACTAAAATGATACTGTCGTTTCATCATACAATAGTGTAGCTTTAAATAAGACTGTCTCCCTGAAATGGTTAAAGCCAGTAAAACAAGCAAATGACCGATACTCCTTATTCGTTCTAAAAGTAGTGTCAAATGAGACAACATCCACAAAATTACCATAATCAATAATTATCCTTGGGTTGCCCCAAAAAGTATTAGTAATATGCTCCTCCACATCCAATTGCACTCCATAATAGAATGATGAATTTTTAACTACTTCCGTTTGAAAATAATTCAACGAACTACCCGTCTCACCATACCTCAAGTCTCGTTGCCTCCTTTCACAAAATTAATTCTTCTAGTCTTGACGAGTAAAATTAAGACTTTCCTTTCCTCCCGACTGAGTGCTCAAAATTTCATAGGAAGCCTTAAGTGATATTCCACAATCTGTTGCTATATCAAAATTAATGTCTTGTGTTTCGGCAACCTTCTACTGGGATGGCATCATATGCAAACATTCAGCAAGATGCATAGGATGGTCGTGGTTGTCGTCCTATTTCATCACAACAAATTTGTCAATTTCTTTATTAAGAGATATGCACATATGAGCTTGACAATTTGTTCACGTCTGTGCTTGATGTTTCCTTATGTGCCACTTTTTTTTATTATGAACTCTTTGACCTTGTTTACAACAAACATATTTTCTGTAAATGACAACGTCATCTTCAAACTTTTATTCTGAAAATATTTTTTCACATTAAATTCCACAAACCCTCTATAATTATTGTAAAACACATATGTATCTTCTTCAACATCAAATTGCATATCAATATAAGGTCTATTATCAGTTATATTAACTCCCAAATCATCCATCATAGTATCTTACAATAAGAAATTTAATTGAAATGACATCATGTGGTGAATGAAACACATAATATATGTATGACATTCCAAAAAAAAAAAATTTGTACTGGAATAATATTGACCACAAAAATAGAAAATATTAATTATTTCAAGTTCCAAAAAATGATAATATTATTAACTCAACAAGGTGTTGACCCAAACTTAAAAACTACACATGCATATACTAAAAACTACACATATGCATATATTGAAAACATACATATATGCATATACTGGAAAGCTATATAATCAGAAAATAGCTCCATTAATTTCATAATAAAACTAACACATATGCATAAAATTTGGTTTCGATACCATACCGTCATTTGATGAAGAGGTAGGTATTATGGCTCTTTTGTCATTCACTGCATTTGATGAAGAAGAACAGAGAGAATGAATTGAGAAGAAGGCGGGAGAAGTAGTAGAAGCAAGTTGTGTTTGATGAAGAAGAAGTGGGAGAAAAGGGGATCTTTGATTTTGATGTGGAGGACCAGCTAAATGACGTCATTTATGGTATGGGTTTTAAAAAAAAAAATTGTAAAAAAACCTCAAAACGATGTCATTCCATTAAACTGCATGTTATGCGGTAACACTTACCGTAGAGGAGCCAAACCCATGTATTAAGTAGTTTAAAATTTTGTATGACCTTGTGGCGTTTGACTTTTCTAACTAATACAATCAACAGCTACTTTAAAATATTTAACAGTTAACTATTTTCTTTTCTTTTATTTTTCTCTTTTTTTTTTAAACAAAATAAATAATTTTATACCATAAAATATTGTGTATTTTGATATAAGCAATAATAAATTACAACATTCTTATCATAAGGGAAGTTTGGGTATTCTATCTCCGATATCATAAAAGATCTTCCTCTTCTAAACTGGATCTTTTAACCTCATCACGGTCTCGCTTGAAATACCAATACAAAGGGGTGTAAAACAAGGAACACAAACCAAATGGAACCGCCATCATCGCAAAAAGCCCTCTTGACAATGCATAGGCGTCTTGTGCAGACCCCGAACCTGGATCAACAGAGGTTGGATCATACCCATATATCTTCTCGGATAATATCCCAACCATAGGAGCGGCGAAAGCAGAGAATGATACTTCGAAAGCACGATCGAATGCATAAATCATGGTTCTATTTTTGGGTGGCACCACCACGGCAAACATGGGGCCATTTGCAGCAGAGGCACACCAGCTGATGGCAAGGCCCATGATGAACATGGTGGCAGAAAATGCAAAGTAGCTGTCAACAGACTGGGGGATAACTCTGAGTAGTAACAATGAGCTTGGAATGCCCATGAAGGCGCTGAACTGTGCACACATTATACGTCCTGAATTAGGGAAAACAAGGGACATTCGATCTGCTATTACTCCTCCAAGGAAGGATCCTATGGCAGTTCCAGCCCCAAAAAGACTATATATAGCTGCGGCTCTATTGTTATCAAAACCTGCAAAAGGACTAGCTTAAGTCATGCATTCTGAGAGAAAATGGGGAGCAACCAACAAAAGAACAACTATCAACAAGTTTATAATTAAGTAAATTACTTTCTCATTCACATTGTAGCACTTTCGATACAATCTGATAATTTTTGTTGTTTTTTGTTTTTAAGTAGAGCTTCTTTTGCAATATTTCTTTTTGCACTTTCTTCTTCTCGGGCTTACTCCAATATTCCCGTCATCTTACGATTTCTTTGTTATGAGGGAAAAATAGAAAAGTTAGAAACTTAAAAAGATAAAATACTTTGTTAAGAAAGAAAAATAGAAAAGATGAAAAAATTGATAAGCTAACCTTTCTTCTAACTTATAAAAACTATTCTTTCAAAATTGAGAGAAAAAATGAAAAGAAAATTAATTAATTGTATTGCAATGAATGCTACTTTTCTTTATATACCTTACATATGCATATATTGTACTTAGCTATTACATATTATGTACACATTAATTTCATATATTTATAAAATATTCATTGCACTTTTTCCTTCTTTCCACTTTTTCATTCATTCCAAACACAAAATAATCAATTATTCTTATTTTTCATCCTCCTACCAAACACAAAAGAGAAAAAAAAAATTATTTTTCTTGAATAATAGAGAGTATATATCACTTTTATTTTTCATCATTTCATCTATCCATGCGCACTACCAAACACACCTTATGTTAACTCAGCATACATGCATATGAATATACATTAACATAATGGGTAACCTTATGTTAACTCAGCATACATGCATATGAATATACATTAACATAATGGGTAACGCTATGACGTGTTAATTGATATGGTCCAATGAAGAATTCAAAACTTGCACTATATTGATGCTCGGTCATGCCATTTTTATAGGTTAGCAATTTGTGTTTTTAAGCACAAATAGCTTTGTTCTAAATGCATTAATTTTAAAATAAGATACACAGATTATTTTTACAAAACATTAATTAAGCATACTTTTTTTTTTGAGGAAATTATTTTTATTAACGAAATATTATGTTTTAAAAAGTTCCAATTCTTAAAGAAATTATTTTTAAAAAAGTTACCAACGGGTACATATGCTAAAATTTGAGTCAAACTCTGGGTCTAGAATAATTGTCGGAAATCTTCCGCAATTCAAACACCTCATCAAACAACACCTCGTTGATAATTGAATACATGCTCACCGATTAGTTCAAACCAAAAAGTGAAGAAGACCATGGCTGTCCAAGGCACTGAACCAACAATTCCCTGCAAGACGATGAACTGAAATGTTTTCACTTTCATGACAGATTTCATTGCCGTCCAGGACTCCACCCAAGTTGTTGTTGCTCTGGACTTTCCCTTATCTATTAAAACATCCCTAAAAGAGGAAGCAACCGAGTTAACAACGTGCTGGAAGAAGCCTAAAACTGCTACGTAGTAGGATACCAACATCTAAAGCCAGCCACATTAGTACGAGAAAATTATCATTAACTCTACCTTTCCCTTTCAAATAAAGTATTAGTCCTATCAATTTTTTAAGACAGAAAATGTATATAGGCCTATCTTGCTTAGCACTTCTTCATAAAAGTATTAAAATCAATACTTAAAGAAAAGTAAACTTTGGATAATTTATTACATATCATATAGACTAGTAATATCTAGTGGGAGTCTTCACTTTGTCCCCTTTACTATGAAGCCAATTATACTTTTTCCCCCTTATTGAATATTTTTACAGTGCACAATGAATTACTTTAATTGATTTTACATTGCCCCATACACAACGCCCCTATGTTTTGAATGACAATATATCGAGATAAAGTGAAACAAATCACATGATTCAGGGGTAAAATAAAATATTTTTTTTATCAAATTAATAACATAGTCAAAGGGTGCAATGTGAGAATAATTTTGGTTGAGAGGACAAGGTGAAAAAAAAAGATTATAGTTGAGGGGGTTAAAGTGTAATTTTACCTTAAAGTCAAATCAATTGTTAGTTTACGATCAAAAAGGGGTGTAGCAGGTGCTTTTAGACAAGTGGAACAAGATTCACTATGCAAAAAATATATAAATAGGGATTTAAATTCATTATCAAAAAGGGGTATAACTGGTGCTTTTAGACAAGTGGAACAAGATTCATCAGACTTACTCGTTGTTGAAAGAAAATGTCAAAATTAAAGGAAGTATCTTTTCAACGACCGGCAAAGCATCTATTTGTTTTTTGAAAGGAGAATATTATTTAAATTTAATTTGGAGATATAATATGAGAATATAATTCACTATAATTATTGAATTAAATGACAATTTCATCTAATATCAGACCTCATAATTATCTAATAACTGTATTGATCTAAAATTTTAAATTAAATCCATAAGACGTTACTCTTTTTCAAACTCGTGTCATGCCGAATCTTTGAATATGTGTAACTACTAACTAAGACCCAGATGCCTTGCATATTTGGACAACGTAGACATTAATAGGTTGAAATTTTGTACAGTAATAGTAAGCCTTTGATTTTCTCAACCCCAACAACTTTTATCTGCTAGTTGAAAAGAACCGGTAGGGCGACTGGTGGATGGGCGTTGAAAATAAAAAGTAAAGCTATTAGTATCTTAAAAAGTGACTTAATTTATTTATCTAATAATATATCAAGTGATAAAATTTTAATAAAAAAATTGAAGAATTATGATCACAAAAACATTATTGTATCATATTCTAAGTCCCAAGAATATTTCTACTAACGANGAAAAAATTAAAGAATTACGATCACAAAAACATTATTGTATCATATTCTAAGTCCCAAGAATATTTCTACTAACGAAAAACAGTTTTATCAAATAAGTTGACAGTTCCACGGCCTATTTTGTGAGACTTTTTTANGAAAAACAGTTTTATCAAATAAGTTGACAGTTCCACGGCCTATTTTGTGAGACTTTTTTATTTTGTGGGATTAAAAGTGATATGTAATTGTCAACTCATTGATAAAACTGTCTTTTGGTAAATAATTTGGAATATGTAGCATTGTTGGATTAAAAAGTGACTAAATAAAAAGAAATTCAATCACATGACTGGTACCTTTCAGTATTTTGCCTTGAATGTTGATCGATTATCATTGTTTTTCTTGGATCAACCACAAAAAAGAACACAAGGAGACCAATTAAGGAACTCAAAGTTGCCATCATAATAAAGGAACAACGCCATCCAGGTACACCCCAGAACTCATGGCCCGCCATAACAGTAGCCAGAGCTCCACCTCCAATGCCACCCAAACAACCAATAAGACTGAGAACCCCAAATCCAACCCCCCTTGAACGATCCTCATAGCTGTCAGCTATGAAAGACTGAAGCGCCGGTATCACAATTGCAAGTCCCAACCCATTTACAGCCCGCAAAATTGCAACTTGCCAGAAATACTGACTAAAACCCACAGCAGCAGTTGAGAAAGCCCAGCACATAATGCCCAGAGCAAGAACTGTTGGACGATCATGTTTAATTACAAGAAGACCCGCCATTGGAGACGCCAGTCCCTGCACGAAATTTCGGATGAAGGTGAGGTACCCGAGAGCAGATGGGCCGACGGTGAAAGCTTCACTGACCTCTCCGTAAACGGCTGGTAAGAGATTTTCATCGGCCTTCTCCATGATGGAGGCCATGTTGATGATGATGAGAGAGAGGGAAATTCCGGATAGTGGGGAAGACATGATCGGCCGAGTCAGAAAACAGATTCATTTAGAGCGTAAAACTTGTCCTAATATATCAGTTAAGTGCAGTGAAAAAATGGGAAAATTGTTGAAACTTTGTTGCGTCATTTTTTTTTATTAAACCCAAGATGTTGCCGCTAAGCAAACCGGTAATGGTATTGTAATGTTGACGTCTTAGACTGCATTAAGTCATTGATAGAATTCTGGAATATTAATGCCAATTCTTATTTCCAAGGCAAGTNTTGACGTCTTAGACTGCATTAAGTCATTGATAGAATTCTGGAATATTAATGCCAAGTCTTATTTCCAAGGCAAGTAAGTTCAACGATTAAGACATGGACACTGCTAAGAACATTGTTTACGTTAATGAGCAATGCTATTGAGATTTAATTTATTGACCTTATTTGTTAACTTAATTCATTATGACTTTTGGATTAATTATAGGACCCATCAAATATTAGAATTTGGTATTAATTCAATGATTTTACAAAAATCACATCATTATATCAACAAATTAGGTCAAATCTTTAAGTCTAAATAATATTACTCTAATCAAATACACAGCTCTTTTAAAGAATGTATACAAAATATGTAAGCAACGGATTGCGGGGTTGCAAGGGAAACCCGAATGACGGAACTTGAGAGCGAAACAATCTTAGAAAAATGGAGACACAGAGAGACAGCAAGTTTAACAAATAAGAACGAAACAATATATTATTTTGTATACTTATTAAAGAGCAATGCTACATAAATTTAAAAAATAAGTTTAAAAACTAAACTTCATAATTAAAATCATTAATTTTACTGTGAATCTCAACATTTATTGGAACTTATTACCTATTTAATGGTTGAAATTATCAAATCTAATTTTTAAATTCATCTAGCATTACTCCTTACAAAATAATACAATATGGTACTACACAACGATTTCAATTGTTATACAATAAAAAGGGATCGTGTAATTTGTTGAAAGCAATAAAATAATTCCTACGTGTAAAAATTTATCTAGACTAGTCTGAAATGTGATCATAACATGTTCATTGTCATCTAGACGTAGATTTTAATAGATAATTTCTTTAAAAAAATGTTTAAGGGTGGGCCGTAGACTGGGCCAAGGGTGGCACCACCAAACACGTCGTTTTTGGCATGAAATTCTGTATGACTATCTTTTTCAAAGAGATTTTTCTACGCAAGTAATGACAATGAGAGCAAGTTAGCAACGGGACTGTTCAACGAAGGATTTGACGATGCTAATAAAAAACAATTTTAGTGTTATCAAAAATTAATTTTTGGTCACAAATTTTAAATTAAATTTTTAGGTGGTAAAAATGTGATGTGTTACCTCCTACATTCGTAATTTGATTATTAATTCTGTGTATCCCTGTCAACCTTTCTTACAAAACAAACAAACTGTCTAAGATCGAAGTGCTTCAATCGAAGACACTCCGATCTTAAGTCAATAATAGAATGATACAATAATTCTTGTAGAGAAGATTGTACGTACCTTTCACTTTGCATCCTCAGTCTTCTAAATAGGGCTCTTCCTTCTTTTAGGGTTCCCGTTATTGACGAAGCAAGATGATACACCCCTCATCATTCTTGGATGTTGGTTAGGATCATTGTAATCTCTCGAGACGCTCCCCCAATCACCTCACTAATTGGAGCTGTGATTTAGTTAGAGCCATATTTCTAATAGAGCTCGGCATTGTAAACCAAAAGCCTTCCTATTGTTATAGTCCTTCGTAGATTGGTTCGGCATTATGAACCAAGCTTGCCTAACTCGATTTAATTCCAACCTCACAGTTTCTCTTTTTGAGACCCACGTGACCTGTCCCATCGTGTCCACATGAGTAAATTATTCATCTATATATGTGGCATGATTTTATATCCCTTCACTTACTCCTAAGAAATGAGTGTCGGGTGATTTTTGCCCTGTAGTCATTTCATATATCCATGCTGATCATTAAATAACTCCTCGAGAAACGCAACCCCTCTATTTGTCGCACTCAAATGTCTTTGCATTTAATGTTTCCTTCCTTCAAACTTCAAGTGTTATTTTTGGCGCCGGTTCATCCCCTTTAAAAAGGGGTGCTAGGCATTGTTTCTCTACCCTTGCTTCTTTCTAATTTCTAGCTTGCCTATCCTTCGTTGCTCTAGTTTTTGCTTTTGATTCTTGTCAAATAGCTCCCCTCAGACCAAAAGACGTTCCTACCTTCAGAAGTAAGTATTAGATCCTTGATGATGTTCATATTCACGTTTATGGTGCCAATGAACCTCTGATTGGCACCTCAGAGTCCATACCAATTCATACTCGAGCTGTCACTGAAGGTGGCGTAAGGTTCCCCTACATCCCTTCATTCTTTGGGTGCTTTCAGCTTCAAAGTCGTGCCCTATTCAATGTTATCCTAACTTCTTTAGGATAGTGATGGGGTGTTGCTACCTTCAATAATCTCTTGAACATCGAGTCTTTGGGAGATCCCGTTTTGCTACATCATCAAACCTACTAGTGACAACTATTACTTGGAAGTGAGAAGGAAGGATCGGTACCTAAGGACTCACCTTCCTGATTCGAACAAGGGTCATAAAAATGACATCATATTTGTCTCCGGTAGTTAGGAGTACAAATTTGGTGACACCCCCACATATAGATGCCCATATGAAGAGGGCATACCATGTATGCGAGAGAATGCTCCTGAGTTTCTTCTTGAGACAAGTCTTAAGTTCTATTTTTATTTTTGATTTAGTAGAACCTATCAAAGGAAAAATTCCTGAACACTCCATGATGATGGATGAGTTACAAATGGTATGGTCTTTGAATGGGAGTCTGTTTTGCCGAGTTGCCTATGTCCTACTTGGTTACACCCTGACCTATCACTCTTTTATTGCTATTCTAAACTGTCCTAATGCTATACTTGCTGATAATCGTGATGTCTTTCAAGGCCAGAGTGCTAATACGCCTCGACCTTGCCACAAGTCCATGAACCCTGTGTCTAGTAGGAAGAGGCCGGTAACAAATTTCCTAAGTTTTCTTACCTTGGCTGAGGCTTTTGGTCCTGCATCTTCTTCTCTTCTAGTTCCAGCCATGGAAGAATTTGCTTTTCCTTAATCTACCGAGCCCGAGTGGGTAGTCATTTTGAATGACCCTCCCGAGCTGGTGGCAGTTGTGACTACAAAAGAGACTCGTAATCCCCCAACTATTTTTACAACTTACACCGCCCCTACTGAAGTCCTAGTTCTTCCTTCCCCTATTCGGTTGCTTGGAGACGATTTCCCCATTGAAAACTCTACTTGAACGAAGAGGAAAATCTCAGAGCCAACCTCTTCAGCCCCCTCCTGAACCATCCTTTCCTCCTTTCTATCCAACCTTGAAGCGAAGGGAAAGGAGATAACTATTCGAGATTTTTGCCACTGAGGATATGAATGTGGGGGTTGGGATAGCCAGAAGGGTTATCCGTCCTTGAGACCTAGCCATGAATGAAGCAGTGTCTAATGATGAGATCACAAGGCTGGCTATCTAGCCAATGGTTGTGTTACTTTCTTTTTCCCCTTTGTCCTTGTCACTTTTCTTTTTGGTTTATTCTCTGCATCTCAACTTTTTTTCTTTTGAGTTTAGGGACTTCAAAAAGTTCATGAACTTGGTGCCAGAATTGTGAAGAAGGACAAAGCCAAGAAGGAGGATATCTATGATCGCATGGTGTAACACCCCAAATTCACCCTTGGACGACATTACAATCTAAATCCATTCACATCATGAGAGCAACTAATAAAATCCATCAATAAAGAAATTCCATTCATCAAATGTAATATTTACAACATCCTTCCCAAAAGAATACACCAAAACATGGCTATTATATCCTAAAAGAATTACATTTGAACTTGCAGTGGAGTATAACAAAAGATTAGTCTTTACATAATCTCAAAAAAAATTTCCTAGTCTGGCACCTAGGAAAGTATAACCCTAAGCATCCACCTCAGGATCCATGTGCCCGTCTAGTGGAGCTTCCCAATGCACTTGCTCATCGACTCTAAGCTTCTCATCTAACACATAATCTGAAAAATATATTGTTTGTAGGGGGTGAGCAATAAACTCTGTAGCAACATTTCTCCCAAACTCGAACAAGGTTTAGAAAACGTATAAAACAAGGTGGCCTCATTTTGCAAATATCATATATCAATTTTTGAAATAAAACTAGGACATTGCAACAGATCTCAAGTTTACGCAATAACAATAATTTAAATGAACAGTAAAAGGAATTTCCCAACAATAAACCATTTTCAACCATAAACTATTTTCCACAAGTTCTTGTAGAGTCCCATACCTCCACAAGCTCTTGTAGGAAACCAATTCCACACAATAACAATAATCGTTCAATAGTGTCATCCCATATTCTCATGTATGTTGGTTGCTTCCCATGAATCTACTCAAAGACTCTACCTCGTTCACCCAATCATAACCACACAAACCACTTTAGAAAGGGCGTATACCGTCTCCCATGACATTGATGAATCCTTCCCAAGAAAGGTATACCATCCCTCAGCCTCAAACTTATGTGAACAATAGTGGTTGTTCTCACAAATAACAAACCACTACAAGTGTTAGGAAACCATCTCACCCACACTGGGATAGACTAACCTCTAACACTATACGGAAGTGTTCGAATGCAATTCAAGTCCTCACAAAAATCATACAAGAGATGCAATAACAAACATTTTCTCAAATCACAAGGAAATCCAAAATTCCTAAATTTCACAATTTGTATTACAAGAGAACAATTTAAGAAAATAAGCAGGATATCATCAACAATCCATTTTTATTGTTCATTACAAAGCACTAAAGTTTTGAAATCAAGAACAAGGGAAAAATCAAGAGAAAAATCCATTTCTCTTGGAAACTAGGGTTTTATGACAAGAAAAGAGTTTCCATGATTATCTAACCCTAG